TGTTTATGTGGGCAAAGTTTCAGATCAAAATTCAAAAATATGGCCTTGCTGCAAATGTGGGGTCTTATAGGAAAAATTCACTAAAACCTCGATATCTCACTAGGAACAAGCTAGGGGCACGAACTTTTTTTACGGTAGACATAATTCACCAAGGCCTACAAGATGCGCAAAGTCTCGACTAAAAATCGCTCCAACACCTGGGAATGTTCCCTCGTCAGTATCTATATTCCCAATCTAGTCTATATCAAATTTTTTTTTTGAAGTTAAATCAATCAATTTTTCTGTAGTATTCCATCATGTGTATCTAATAATTTTCAAAATAGTTCCCTTGGTACCCCAAACCTTAGTACTTTTCCTATCTTCTATAATTTTTAGTTTTTATGATGTTTGAAATTCTTTGATAGTGCTTTTCAGGGCGAAGACGACCAACCGTGTAACTTTTTTCAGAATTTATGTGTCATCCAACTCTATAAGTATACCAATTGATTGTACTTCGAATCGAAGTGTGTCATAATCTAACGGACTAATTAATACCTGAAAAAGGCTAATTATTCAATTCCTATGGACAGAAAAGTATAGTTTTGCAATAAATACTTTTTGACTGAAAACGTTTTTATCAATTAATAGTAAGCTCATCACATCCTATCATTTGACATATACGGATGTTTCGAAAATGACAAAATATTGTTTGTTTTCGAACCCATGAAGAGGGAAAGTACAGAGATATGCACAATTTCTAATTCTCATAAGAAACAAAGTATGTATTGAATCTGATAGAGCTTCATACTATAATGATACCCGACTACTTAAAATCTAAATTCATAAGAAAAAAATAAATAAAAACTAATGTTTGTATTAGTTTATTCGCATACTGCTCGTGAGGAATCGGAAAGCGAAAAAGTTTTTCGCCTTCTTCGACACATCTGTATATGTCAAATGAAAAGCCATGATGAGCTTTTTATTAATAGATAGAAACTTTTTCACTCGAAAAATTATTTATTGCAAAACTACTATATTTTTCTGCTCATAGAAATCGAATAATTGACCTTTTTTAGACGTTGGTTAGCCGATTTGGCTACGATGCACTTTGATTCTAAGGGCAATCAATTGTTATTCTTATAGAGCTTGGTAGCACATAATTGCTGAGGAAATTGCACGGTTGGTCCTCGTTACCTTGAAGAGCAGTATCGAAGAATTTAAAAGATCATAAAAAGCAAAAACTACAGAAGCTTGGGAAAATACTAAGATTTTGGATTTCCTTAACTGGTATATGGCTTCTTAGGTCGTTGAAACTTGACAAAAATGCTACTTCCTATATGCCATTCGATGCGATATGAGTTACTTTACGAAACGGTATAGTTAGCTTTTCAAATGAAGCATGGTCATCTTATCCGGCAAAATCCTTTATTTAAACAAAAAAAATTGTTTTAGTTGGACCAAGTAAACGTTTATTAACTGGAATTGTAATTGAATATTTTTTTGCATTTGGACAATTATTTCTTGTACTTTTTGCAAATTATATTCGTACATGGAGAGCATTGACAGGAGCTATATCATTATTTACAGTACCATTCGTGTTCTTTTATTTGTAAGTTAAAATTTCTTTTGATAAAATTTAAAAAAACGACTAAAATACAATTTCATTTAGTGTCTTACCAGAAAGTCCTCGTTGGCTTATTAGTCAAGGACGTTTTAATGAAGCTGAAAAAGTTTTACGTCGTATTGCAGTTGATAATAAACGAGATTTTGATAAAGATGCTTATGAACAAGTTAAAGAAGAACAAGAAATAGTTAGTTTAATCTTTATTTTCTAGTTCGGAAGATTCATTTTTGCTAATACTCTTTTTTTTTAGAGTATGCTAGACAAACATAATCAAGAAGGTGTCATGGGTTTATTTAGATCAAAAATTATGTTTATTATTAGTATTAATCTATTTTTTCAATGGTATTGACTAAACACAAAGAAAAACCAACAAGTTTTCTGCTTATAATTTTAATTTCTTTATTTTAGGCTTGTACAAAATTTAGTATTCTATGGAGTTTCACAAAACACGGGTTGAGATTTAAATATTGAATTTAATAAAAATTTAATAATAAAAATTTTTCAGGTTCATGGGATTTAGATCCATATTTATCATTTACTCTTAGTGCATTAGTTGAATTAGCTGCATATGTTCTTGTACATCTAATACTTGATCGTGTTGGTCGTAAACTACCTTATTGTGTATTTGCTATACTTTTTGGTCTTGTTGCTTTATTGGTTTTACCACTACAAAAATTCGTGCCAAAGGATAGCTATAGTATGGTTTTTATTTAATCAAAAAAAACATTTTTAAAGAACAAAAGAAAATTTTTTCTTTTCAGCTAGAAAAGTGTTATTAAATTCAATTAATGTATCATTAAAATTTTTTGCATCCGCATCTTATGCGATTATATATATATATGCAAATGAACTTTTCCCAACAAATCTACGAAATACAGGAATGGGTATTTGTTCAATGGTTGCACGTATTGGAGCAATTATTGGGACATATTGTAATGATGCTTTAGTAAGTTTGAAATATTTATTGATTAAAATTTAATTATTTTTTTTTAATAATAGGCTCGTATTTGGGTACTTCTACCTGTACTTCTTTATGGTATTGTTTCACTTGTAGCTGCTGTATTAGCTTTAATGTTTCCTGAAACATTAAATAAACCATTACCACAAACAGTTGCCGAGGCTGAACGAATGGCCATGACCAGGTAAATAAATCAAAATAATTTTTATTTGTTTTTTTTGACCTTTTTTTTTCTTTCATCTATTCATTTGTCTAATTAGTATTCGAATTGGAAAACCTCAAAGTACAATAACTAATGGTACGGAACGTGAAGGTCAATCATTAACAGGAAATAATGAAGACATTATACTCAAGGATCAATTACAACGAAATAATACAGATGACAACCAATTATAAACAAAGAAATGAAGTGAAGATTTTTTTTCTATGTTTATTCTCAGATATTTATCATTCTCATGTGTATTTTGTGTTTTCTTTTATTTCCTTTGGATGGCTTATTGTTAAGTTTTCGTTATTCTTTTTTCTCTTTTTTTTTGTTGTTGTTGAAATCTACACTTCATGGATAATGTTTTTTTTTGTGGTTCTTCGTTTTTTTTTCTTGATGAAACGATATAATCACTTTTATTCCTTTCCATTCTGCATATCTAACTTCGTCTTTTTTTTTTCTTGCATGTTCTTAAAAAATAAATAAAAACATATTTTATTCAAGCTATTGACTTATATGTACAATGTATATTACATTGGTATAAGGCAATGATTCTATTTTTGTCTCAGTTATTACTAAAACACGACATGTGACCATGAATTACAGGGACGATTTAACAAAAGAATTAGAATATTTGAGTATGTCTATATCGTTGTCCGACCGCGAAATTCGAGGTTGTGAATATGCAAACATTGACTATATTTCACTTGTTATACATATTCTCGCTCTTTCCCTGGTAAAGGTATGTAAGCATCAAATTTCAATTAGATGCGAGAACTTGACATTGTCCTCGTCGTTGTCGTTGACACTCGATCTGTGTGCATGAGCATGGTACCACCATTATTCTTTTCTTTATGCTCATTTTATTGCCTATTTAAATATAAAGAAAAGGTTCAATGATTAAGTACAATGATATGATGCAATCAAAAGTAGTGATTCGCAACAAATTCAGTCGAACTTTTGACCGAAAATTGACAAAAGAGGAGGCTTCCTCTCTTTCTTCAATATTTCTTTTTTTCTCTTCAATGGCTAATTATATACAGTTCAGGATATACGGAATACAATTACTCTTTGTGTGTAGGTACCCTCTTACATATATATGCGCGTGTGTGCCAACTGCTACTTTTTTTTCTTCTTTTTCTTTTTCTTTTTTTTTTTTTTATTTTTAAAGAAGCATGTTGCCGAGCAAGCATTTGTGTGTCGTGTTGAGATACAAATTTTTTTATTATGCTCTTTTCTCCTCAAGCTGTCGGACGACGAAATGTAAGAATAAAATAAAACACATTGTGTTTTTTACAATCCCAACACCGAATGTGCGGAAGCCGCAAACCAACGTCTATAGCATTGAAGAAACGTAGAAAGACAGAATAAGCAAAAGAGAAAGAAAAAAAAGAATTGACTGATGACGAAGTGAAATAAATTATCCGCAAGTCTTCTATAGAGCGACATCATTTGTATATTGTTTTCTTCAGTTTTTTTTATTCAATGGAAGAAAGAACGAAACTAATAGAGTCTCTTTTTTCTCATTTGAAGGTTTCTAAATCGTATATGTTTATTGTAAACCACAAAATTGTATTCATCTAATTATAACCAATTTTGATTTCGTTTGCGCTTCTCTTTTGCCATTGCGGTAAGTGAACCATTTTTCCACATCGAACAGCTTTTTTTTGCACCAATGACACCTTTCAATATTTGTCGGCTCAGTTTCTTCTTGGCATATATGTACCGTAGTTTTGCCTTGAAGTAAAATCATTCTTTAACTATTCTCAATTTTTGAACCTAACAACATAAGAGGAAAAGTAAGTATAAGAATGGCTGACTGAATGATGTTGTTATTGTTTTCAAAAACAAGTGCTTATGCTTTTAGCCGTACTTCTATATGAACTTCATCCTTATTTATTCTTTATATTTTTAAACATATTCAACTTACAAAAATAAAAGAAACAAAGAAATAACAGAGCTATACATTAAAAACCGTTCGTCATGCTAATTTGCGCTTTCGAGCACCACTAAAGGTTACTAACACGTACATGAATTTTACCTTTTTCATGTATGTTTGTATATGTATGTCTTATCTGATTCGTAAGAGAAAGAAAGAAGAGGCCCCTGGATAGTTTCTTCATTCGAGTCGATCGAAGAAAAGAACTCCTATATTTTTTTACACCTACATGCATACATATATGTTTCTCTTTTGGCAAGTATACTTGCTCTAAGTCATCAAAACGAAAAGAAAAATGGAGAAGAATAAAATGACGACCACTGGTGATGATGATGTTGGTATATTTGTTGTTGTTCTTCCTCCACGACGAGAAGCATCGTACATAACATATTATACACACTTTATAGAAAAAAAGAGAGAGACGTAAAGAAGAGGAAGAATAGAGAAGACAATGTTTGTTTTCTTACTCTTTCTCTCTCTCTCTCTCCCTGTCTCCCACTTTCAAAAAATAAAATAAAGCAGACAGACAGAAAGACTGATTAGTTTTGTTTAGCTGGCGGCGAGCACCTTCACTACTCGAGATCGTATTTCATTATTGACGTAGTTTTTTGTTGGTGATAGAATTGTTCCGCATAGTTACTATTAGTAAGTACTGATCTGGACAAAATCATGAATTATTCTTATTCTTTTTTTGTGTACACAGAAAGTACGTGCAATAATAAAGTTTTGAGTGTGCGTTAGTGATGTTAATTTGACTCGTTCATATAATGTACATATTCGTTGACCATTGTTTACATATCTTACGTCGATAATATATATGTTTTTTTTTAGTCATTATCTACCCGAGAGCAATCGCATCATCTTTACTTTCTTCTTCTTCATTTCTTTCGTTTTCTCCTATTTTTAAAATGGGACAATAAACGATAGATAGAAATCATAAGAACAAGTATTTATATCTATCATATTTAACGAAGAAGATTATTATAATTATGACTATTCGACAACAATATGCTAATGAGGAGCTTGTTCATAAGCTCCGTTCAATGCTCAACGATTTACCAACCCTTCGTACTCGAGCACTTAAAAAATTAAAACATTGGCGAGAAGCAGCTATTAAACGTCTTCTTGAACGACAACGTGAACTTGAAAAAACTTTATTAGATAAATTTGAACGACTTGAATTCGATACACAATTATTTGTTGAAAAAATTGAACGAAAAAAAGCCAATCAACAACGACGTTGGCAAACTGAACCATTAGATTATAATAATAAAAGTGAAATTGATCGTATATCGACAAATTTACGATCAATTCGAAAAGAATTAGAACAATCCAAATTAATCTTAGCTGGTAACACTATTGATGATGATATGAATGAATTATTACCTGATGATGTTATACCAGCAAAATTAGCAAGTACATCACGTTACAGTGAAAACTCATCATTAAAAACTCCGGTACATAAAAATTATGAAAATAATGATCTTGGTTCAGAATTAAAACGTGTACTTGAAATATGTACAAGTCCACAACGTTCATCATCATCATTATCAGCCGATGAGGTAAGAAATTGAGGAAAAAGAAACAAAATTTGTCTCTTTTCTTTGTTTCATTACATAAGATATTAAACAAGAAAAAGAAATTTCGTTACAAATACTTGAGTGATAGAGAGAGTAAAAAATAACCAATTCAATTCATTATATATTTATGTATATATATAGGTTAAATTTTTTTGTTATGAGACTTTTTGCTGTGATGAGACAAGTGCACTTGTCTTTAAGGATGATGAGAATAATGTCTATTTATTTAGTATGTATATTTGCAAATTTTTTTCTTCTTTTTTTTTTCATAACGAATAGCGTATGATGGTAAGCCCTTCACTTAAAGTATTGTATATATGTATATATATATATGCATCTATAACTATTATTATTATTATATAATGATATGATTTGTTTGGATAGTTGGGGTTTCTTCTGCATTGGTTAAAGACCTTGCTTTTTAAATTGTATAGTTTGTATCAAGGAACATAGGTTTTCGAATAATATTATTGTCAATAAAATTCTTTGGATAAACATAACAAAGTATTCGAATTATATTTTATCATTATATGAATATTTGATTAAGGTCATTTCTTTTCTTTTCCTTTTTTTTGTCTTCTTTGGTGTATTTCTTTTCTCAAGTATTTAAATATGTTCATCGAAATTTATGTAGATGAAGTATGGTTTCATACTACCAAAACCTAAAGTATTATTAACAAAAAAGAAGAAGAAGAAGAAATTTGATGCACATCAACCAAATTTAGTCTCGAAAGCCAAGGTCAGTTTGTAATATACGAATGAATGATTTGGTGATGGGAGAATGTTATCATATCAGTTTCGTTTATATATCGACCTTTGTACATTCGAAAGGCTATTTTCGATAGAACGATCAATTGCGATCGTATCAATACTAAATATGATTATATAATTGTATAGATTATAAATGTCCATATTGATTAAAATCAAAATGATATTAATTCAAAAGGACGTAGTATCTCAATGAGTGTATGAATGAATAACTGTTTATCAGTATAGTTGTTGATAAGTAAAGTCTAGTTTTTTTTTCTTCGACTATTTCTAGTTATCACCTTTACCATCAATTGATCATACAGAGTATTCGTATGATGCTAAATCAAAACAGACAACAACTAAAACAAGTAAAACATTTCAACCAAAACAAGGTTCGCAAACTGTAGGTACACAACGACGTAATACACGTACAATAACAAATGTATCAATACAACAACAACAACAACAACAACAACAACAACAACAACAACAACAACAGCAACAACAAAATATTTCAACGAGTGTCAACGATCAAAATAATACAAATGATGGAAACAATAACAATAAGCTATTTGCATTTGAATCCTTTGATGATTCTATAAGACGTTTTCAACGTTTACGTGAAATAAGAAAAAATTTACGAACAAAATATGATGAACGATCACAACAGGTTTGGTTAAAAAAAATAACTTTACATTTTGAATTTTGGTTTTATTTTAATAATCATTTAGCAATCTGTTGAAACGATGCCATCAACATCAACAAATGCCATTGAAAATACTGAAACAATATCCGATAATCGTACTGGTACTCAACAAAAATCTCTAAATAATCCTAATCGTTCAATATCAAATGGTACTCATTCGATTCCACCAACACCATTAACTATTAAATCATCTCTAACAACAAGTTCAACATCACCAAGAAAAAATGGTGAAACACGTCATACATTACTTGCACGTGAACCTGTTAGTATTCCTATTGAACGAGTAGCAACTATAACAAATTCTCAATCAACAAATTCTGATGTACTTGAATTATATGATAAAGCAGCAAATAGTGTTCGTATAAATAATGATGTTACTAATACACGTGATCGACGACATCGTTCAAGAACACTTGAAGCTAATCAAATTCAAGCTGTTGATAATCAGATATATGGATGTCCATCGACATCTAAAATGAAACAACAAACACATCATAGATCTGAATCACATAAACATCGTAATCATCGTTTATCGTTTCGTCGTTTAAGTGAAGATACACAAGATAAACAATTACAATTAAGACAAAATAATGAATATGCTAAAGATTCTACACACAATATTTTAAATGAAACATGGCTTGATATTGGACAAGATCATTGGACTAATTTACTAGAAAATGGTTGGAGACCAACAGCTGCTACACCTGGTGTTAAACCTGTTGCAATTACTGATTCAGGTGAAAATAATTTTATTTGATTTTTTATTATTATTATTATTATTATTATTATTATTATTTCTTTTCTTGTTGTTTGATGTTTTAGATACTAATAGCTCTCGTGGAAATAAGCAACAAAATTCAAGTACAAAAATTATTGATCTTTATGAACAAATATCAAAAAATGAATATGTTTCATTATTCGAACAACTTGAATTTGCTTATGCACGCACAATCAATTTAGGTAATGAATTTTGGCGTTTTCTTGAAATAAATGGCAATCATCATTTATGTCTTTATCATCAACTTAATAAACAATTTATTATGTTTAAACCAGATGTTTCACTTTTATGTTTTCCTTGGCCATACGATGGTATTATTGATATTTCATGGTCAAAAACAACAAATACATGGGTTGTTGCTACACAAACACAAATAGTAAGTTTTATTTTGTTTTTAGATTATATAAAATATCTATTAAAAAAAATTATTTTTTTAATAGATTATTTGCAATAATTCATTCAGTAAAATTCTTCAATCAATTGATATAAATGGTGATTGGCCAAAACGTATAACATCATGTCAATCATCTATATTTCATACATATAAAATTCCATCATCTTCTACAACACCTCCATCAAATTCATCATATAATTCCACATCAAATAAAGATCGTCCACAATTTTTACTTGAACGTTATGATTATAAATTACATTCTATGGGTAAACATATTCTTGAATCCTCAACAATATGGGATATTGAAGCTGATGACGGTACTGAACATTTAGCTGTTTTATGTGATGTTGCTTTACTTATATTTGATTATCAATTAAATTTATTAAAACAAATTGAAGTAACTGGATTTAAAGTAAGTACAGATCATTTTGGTGGTTGGATTATTGCTGATTATAATGCGTCATGTATATGGCAAATAAGACGAAATGAATATGTGACAGCAAATAAAATTTTACATGTTGAACGACCTTGGTCTGTTATAATCGATCGAAGTACATGGACATTAGTTACATTAAGTGAAACACAAAATCGTGCTAAACGTTTATTATTTTTCAATATGAAAAATCTTCCTGTGTCACTTTTAACAACGAATTCAACTGGATCACAATCTCAACTATCGATTTCGACATCATCGTCTTTATCGAATTCATTAACTTAAATATAAAAAAAACAATAAACAAATAAAACATGAATTTTAGTTTTTTTTCTTTTTCTTTTTTTTTTAATATATGTATAAATATACCTATTTATCTGTAATAGCGTTCTGCTCTATTTGGTTTCTCTGTTTTTTTTTATTGATACTGTTGTTGTCCCTTTACTCTGCCTCAAGAAATATTTCTATTATAGTTTATATAAACTGTATTTCAGCACAAGCTATTTTCGAATAAGTTAAAGACATATGAATAACTTTGAGATATTGTACAAAAGATACTTGTTTTTTAAATTTAATAGTCAGGAATGTAGTATTGCAAAAGATTATAAGAACAAAGTATTTTTAATTTTTTTTTAATGCCGAGTGTCTAATTCAAATTTATATGATGATTTCAATAGCCGATAAAGTTCTCTATCAGCTGCACTATATATTAAGGTTTCTGTAGTTGGACCATATGGGAAAGTTTTCTAGAAAATAGAACATGTCAATTTTCAAGTCTAAGAAGACATTGTGAGAATTCACTTTTAATAGTATCCACAATTCTGCATACTATGAAGGGCCGTCATGTTTTTTTAAGACTTTCTCTTATAAACTTACAAGTACCACAAAAACACACTTTAAAAAATACACTTCTAACGATTTTTTGATAAATTTTTCTTTTTTTCGTGATTTGTAATGTTTGTAAATGCGTACGATAAAGTCGTAAAAGGCGTGGCGACTCCCCCATAGAGTTCTGAATTGATGGCATTATTAAATCGAGCTCTCACAATGTCTTCCTGGACCTGAATACGATCGTGTTCAGTTTTTAGGAAAGTTTTCCGCATTGTCCAACTATGAAAGATTGATCTATATGGTGCATCCGATAGAGAGCTGTATTGACTATCCAAATCATTGTTTGGATATGAATTAGCTATTTTTGGCATCACAGAAAAAAAATAAAAAAATACCTTGTTTTTTTAATGATAAGCAGTACTGTCAATTCGAAATGATGCATTGATTATAAAAAACGAAACAAAAAATTTTGCTTATTGTATAAAAGCATAGTTCGGTTAGGAATCTCCATAATTAATGTCTTGTTTATGAAATTTTTCTTGTTGATTGTAGTTTTCTTTTGAATATTTTACGAAATTCTATATGTCTTTCTCTCTCATAAAAACACAACTTTGTCTTACAAAAAAAATGATCGATAAGTTTCTATTGATTTTTATTAACTGAAGCATTCATGAACATCACGACCTTAATGTTCTCTACGCACTACAGTCTATTTCAACAATATAAATTCATAAGAAAAGAAAACGATCATATTGATGTATTTTTATAAACATTTCATTTCTTTTTATTGAACTACCATTCATAAAGAAGTATAACGAACGAGACAGTAATCAAACAGAAAAGTAAATACGATCGATCTATTTATTTTCTGCTTTACTAATTTATTCCTGAATACCATCAACTACAAAAATATTACCCGTTAATGGTGATATAACATCATTATAACGTCAATGCACTTTCTCTGTCTCTGTTCACTTGTTGTTATTGTATTTCTAAATGCAATTATTAGTAGTATAAAATTCACCACATTCGAAAGTAAGTTTATGATTGTTTGTTACTGTTCATTGTTTTTTATTTGGTACAATTCAAGAAGCAACGTCAATTACAAGTACTACTTTTGCGACATGTAAGCGAAGAACATTTATTTTTGATCTTGATGGTATCGAATTCTGATCTTGTTTTTCACCGTAGCCGTTCTATAAATTACAACTGCTACAAGTAAGAAAATAAAAAATCTAATGTTTGAAAAGAAAAGACAGTGTATAAAACATCAAATATTGTTTGTTCTATCATACCTATATAGGTACAGTAGTAGCATCGACGACTTCGACATCATTCACATACTCTAAATTGAATTGCAATCCATTACTAATTCATTTCTTCAACTATGATGAGAATAATGATCCGACATCTTGGGTATCGGTAATGCACGTATTTAAAACATCTTCAACTTAATCCACTATTCTGTTTGCTATTAATATCAATAACTATCTTACATGATACATTGATAATGTAAAAGCTGTTGCCACGAACGCTCCATCTATTTCGCAGCTAATTAATGCATACTTTGAGTATCAAATTTCAACTAGATAGAACTTGCAATCATGTACTGAAGAATGTGTTAGTATTATTACTACACCAACAAGCTGTGTCGAGAATGCATGCTATTCTATTCCTAGTAATTGTGGATCGTTTCAGTGTCTCCAACAATCATTCATAACGATAATTAATCAACAATGTTCTGCTTCATTCGATATCATGGCGACTGATAACGATTGTGGCAATATTATTGCTTAGTTTGCTATTGTTTACAATTGTGTCACCTGAATATACTCTACTACTTACTACAGAAAGTTTTATTTTTCTCAATACAACAAAAATATTAAAATATGACTCTATTTTATAAGTATAAATAATTCACTTTCTTAAGTCTTTTTTCTAAAATTTATTTTCAATCTTATTTGTTTGTTGTAATTTGAGAACTTAATTTGAAAATAAAATGCTCGATTACCGACTAAAATAAATTGTCTAGCGTTTATGAAAAGAAAAATAAGCATTTTAAACAAATAATATATAGCTGAATTTTCCAATTTATCAAGAATGCCTGTGAAGTTTTTGGTATAGAATAACTATACTGCATCTACCTACATATAAAATTGCTTTTATTATATCGGTAGTCTCTTAGTAAAACTCGTGATAAATTCAAGGAATAGATTTGTTGCGTAATATTATGATCTTTCTAACATTTAAATATCTCATTGATTTGTTCTGTCTGCTTTTATTTATTAAACAAACATGAACAAGTTTCATTTCATTCCCAGTACTGTAATAATTTCTACTTGCAATAAGATCAATAGCTATGTTCGAGTTATTCTATCTGAACAACATAGATTATAAAAGACTATTCATAACAACTGAAGACGTGCAAAAGAAGCCCTTTTTTTTGCTCTGTACCTCGCCTATGGACAATTTTCGTACTCGAACCCCAGCCTACATTTTCCTCATCTTAATTTTACTCTACGCTGTACTCTCTGTAGCGAGACTAGGGAGCTACATACAGGTCAATGTTTTCGTGGACTCGAATCCAGATCCTAATTTTTTCCATCAATATCTGATACCTTTTGTGTACATGAACAAGTGGAGGATCAATATTTTAGCTATTTATTGGTTACTCTCAGAAAAAAAGCCAACGAACAAATATTTCTTGTTGTTCACTTTCCCATCGCTTAATGCTGAATAATATAAAACTTTTCGCTTAGTTGGAAAATGCATTATGTTAACAAAAAATGTAATTGAACAAATCATTGATAGAGAAAATTTCTGATTGAAAATCGTCAAACCAACACTAATACCAAAGGCATCAACTGTATGGAATAATTTAGTTGTATTTATACAGACGAGATCAAGCAAGTGGAACAGCTGCGCTTCCACGTTTTCGTGGATCCGACTAAAGCTAATCTTCTGGATCCAAACTTGGGTCTGGAAATATCCACAGCTTCTTAACCCTGATACTATTCTACCTTATATTGATCACACTCTAACTTAATCCCACCTTGCATGGTAAGTAGGGTTATTTTACACATCTCTAATAAGAACTTGTCTTTTTGTCGTATGAAGTTATTTATTTGAAAGTGTAAGCTCTGAATATTATTACATACAGCTATTCCATTCTTTATTACATATTTTGTTTGTTCTTACAATATAACGGACGGTGCAAAAGTTCCCGGAAAACTGTCGTCTCATCTTTTATCGTCTAAAACATATTTCAGAAAAACCAAAAATATCCAACCGGAATCTATGTTGAAAGCCCTTTTTAACAGAATGTTCAAAAACGTTTTATCATGTATTGTCTTTCAGTAATGGGCACATCTTTAAATAGCACTAAAATATATTCTGTAAAAAATAATTTACAACTCCGGTGGTAGAACGAACTGATCTTTGAGTGATACTGTATTATTTTTTTTTACGAGGTTCATGGAGAATTAGACGGCAAAACCTAATGAAGAAAAAGTAACAATATGTAAAGGGATCCGTGAGAACTTAGAAAAATACTATAGTATCGGTTCGTTCTACCACAGTAATTGTGAGTTAGTTTTTACAGACTACATTTTAGTACTATGTAAAGATGTGCCCATTACTCAAAGACAATACATGATAAAATTTGTTCTGTTGAAAAAGGCTTTCAACATAGATTCTGATTAGGTATTTTTGGTTTTTCTGAAATATGTTTTAGACGATAAAAGATGAGGCGACATTTTTCGGGGAACTTTTGTACACCACCCGTTAATATGTGATTTGAGACAAAACTTTAGTTTTGTTGTTTTTGAATAGGTTGATGAAATATATATTCAGTTTGATGTTTGTTTCGAAAAAGAATCCAATTAAGTGGTCTTTTAAGCAAGTTTTCTTTTAGTATTCTTCAAATACAAAAATACAAAAAATTTCTATGTTTATCTATGTACAATATACAAAAACGTGACTGTTGTTGATTGTGTCTTTTGAATAATTATTTTGGTATATTATTGCTAGAATATCAAAACAAACGCTAAAAAAGCAGAAATGAACAATAAAAAAAGACTTACGTTGTACTTGTGCGTTTTTCTTTGAGTTGAGCATGTGCCGTAAGATCAAATGCTTCGATGCATACTGCTTCTATAAGATCAATTGGCCATTTATTAGGTACAATCGTTGTTGGCTGTCGTGGTGTAGAAAATAAATGTAATGATGGTATACAATTGCGTGCGAGTTTAACTGAACATAAAGAAAATGAAGTTGACGAAGAAGACATTTTATTTGTGAATTTGAAGAAAGAATAGCTAAAATAAAATAACATTCTTCCCCGTTTTTCTTAAAGAAGTATCTGTCGTTTGCCTCAATAAGGAATTGAGTGATGCTAAGCAATAACGACATCTATTAATTTGTCAATTCATAATATAAACGGATATTTTTTATTTGAATCAGTGAAATGAAAAACTAATATTTAAATTATGTGTTTGATTTATATTGTACTTTTTTAGTTAATTGCTTGTCCATAATGTATCGAGATTTGATGGAATCAATTTTTTCTCGTTCTGTTTCTTTCTTTTTCTTTGAGAGCTATAATGTTGATGGCACCAAATTTGTTCACCATGATTTTTTTCTGCAGATGACTGACATTCAATTGGCTTCTTTTGTGTACTATTACTGAATACGTAATATCAGAGGTATTGAATCGATAAGCTGAAGAAATGTTTTGATTAAGTACATTATGTCGAATAGAAGGTAAATTATGTGATAATATTTGTTGAAATTATATTGATCAAAGAGTTCATTATAGGTGAAGTTTATTGTTTTCTTTTGTATTCAAAAGGTTATTATTTTATTGAAGTGTCTTTATGAATGTGTTTGCTTTGATATACACTAGAGATTGATTAGAAATTTGTTGCTCTTTTATCAAGTAATAGATTTGCTGTAAGGTGAAAAAATATTTCGCATTCTTTCCATAAGAATTTCACTAATAATAAAGACAACCATCTATTGTAACTCAAGGACATTGAACATGTTTCTAGGTCAAACTAACACATTTTGAAATGTGAGCTGCTTATAATGTGCATGGATTGAGATGTTCGATTATTGAAGGTATTTATAGTATATGTAATGCGCTAATAGTTAAAAATTTTATCAGGATTTATTTTTCTCTTGTCATCATGGTTGGATAGAGTTTGCCGAGTTACATAAGAGGAAATCTGTCATAAGAAAAAAGATTTTAAAAGAAAAGTCTATGATATCATTATTTTACAATATACAAGGAAATAGATGCTGAATTCTCACATTCATCAAATTCTTTATTCTTTATATGAAACATACTTTCTCTTATGTAACTCAACGAGCTTTATTCAACCATGATAAAAAAAGAGAAGATATACATCCTACAAAAACTTTAAATTGTTAGCACATTACATACACTATCAATACCTTAATATTCAAATATTTCGGTCTGTTCATGTGATAAGCAGCTCATATTTTAAATCTGTGAGCTTGTGGGCAAGACTTTTAATATGACTTCGAAAATGTTCAATGCTTTTGATTTATAAGACACATCTTTACATTGTAAGTAAATACATAGATGTTCATAGAATAATTATTTATGAGAAATGTATGAAGTTACACTAAGATAAAAGAAAAAAACATTTTCCTTTTTTGAATCAGACAAAAAAAAATGTAACAGTTGAAGAAATGATTACGTTTGAAATAAATCTATTATTGTTCTCATTAGGATGTTGATTGATTTTATTATGCAAGTCTCGTCTCGTTTTTCTAAATATTCAAATTTCGAGATTTCTGTTCTTTTTAATTTAATTAATAAATAAATAAATCTTTTCTCAAATCGATACATGTTTATGGAAAATGGATAATTTTTGATTGATTCTTTTCTAAAGAATGATCACATCAACCATTTATGTTTATCAGACAGCTGTTCATACAATCAAACAAGACAAATACTAATATCTAATGATTCGTGCTACGCACAATATACAAAACATCTATATAGAAAGAGGGAGCAATCTATTCATTGATTAGATTCCCATGATATTTCCCCATTTTCTTTTCTCTCATATATTTCTTCGTTTTTCTCCCATCTTCATTGTCCGTCTGAGTGCTACTTTGTGTATGTCTATCGGTTGTAGACTAGGGCGACTAGTCGATTAGGCACGGTCACTGTATAGACAGGAGAAAAAAGAATGAGTGAAAATGGCATATACAGAGCACGCGCATTTTTCATCATCAACTTTACACATCACCGATTAAAGACGGCTTTGCATACACACATCAAGATAAATGACGGTTTTTTTTTGTTTATGTTTGCATACATATTTACACATTCAAATAAAAGATGAGGAGGAGCCAAATGATGACAATTAGATGGCGAGTCTGAGACATGTTGTCTTGAGATTGTATTGTAGAATGTTTTATTCTACTCATTCTCTTTCTACTTGAAAGACAATCGAGGCATTTCTCTGAAACTTCACCTATGTTGAAAATTTAACGTAAATAAAAACAACTCAGTTATTCATTCCTACTTTATTTTGTGATTACGCAATCACTACGTAATGATATGCGCAGTTAATATTATTTCTCACTGTTTAGTCCTTCAAAAATAATAGCCTTTAAATATTGTCGCTTTCTTCTCAAATTGAGATTTTTCACTCAAACTTCTTTTTCTTTTTACTCATATGAATAATATAAAATGAGAATGAGGCTCTCTCTCTCTGTATATATGTAGCAAAGTAATGAAGGCGTTTATGTGGTCACATTGACACGTTTACAGGTTCTTTTATTTTTTGTTATTACTCATTTTTAGAGAATAATGTAAGTTTGTAATTAACAAAGAGAAAATTTTCAATGGCAAAACCTACAGAGCATATATCAATTCATATGCCAAAATATGAGGTAAGAGTTTGAATTTTTTGTTTTATTATTAGTAACAACAATTACTTTTACGATAAACAGACAACACCAATTCATTTTGATACCCCAACATTTGGTGTTGCAGTTGATATTGCTGATATACAAAATTATATTCGTGAGGTATTAGAAAGAAGATAATTATTTATTTTCTTATTATATATTAATTTTTATTGAATAGAGAGCAGAAAAAAATTTAGAACAATGTAAATCATTTGAAATATCATTACCACCATCAATTACTGGTATAACTAGTGAATCGAATAAAGTAAGTTAATACTTGTACTATATCAGTATTAAGGAATCAGTATCGTTTTTAGATTGAATTTAAATCATTATTTCAAACTCCAACATTAAATGAACTTGAAATTGTGTCAACTAATCCAGATGGATCATCGTTGAGGTTAAATGAAGAACAACTTAAAGCAGTTAAACAAACAGGGTAGATCAAGAAGGTTTTTTTTGTAATAATGCATAGTATTATTTTAAACTGTTTAATGTAGAGAATTTGAAGTGAATAGTATTCATTTTTCTGGTCAACGTCATCGATGGAGATTAAGTAAATTACTTCAATCGGGCATTCAAACAGCTAATGAAGTGCTGTATAAAGTTCGTCTTATTAAAATAAATATTAAATTTCAATATTTTTTGAATTTTATTTTCAGGAATTATCATGGGCAGTTTATATGTTAATAATATTTGCTCAAGATCGTGTTTTTTCGAATTGTTTTAGCTTTAAAGCAACTTTACGATCATGGAAACAAGGCTTTGTTAGTTTAATTGGTCAGATTACTTTTCTTTCTTTTTCTTTGTCAAATTAACTTTTATAAAGGATTGTTTTATCATAGATGCCCTTATTGGATTACCTGCCGTTTTTTCAAGTGGTGTCGATTTACAAATAGAAAATGAACGAAACAAATTTTTAGTTATTGAACTTTCACCACATGTAAAATTGAAAATATATTCAAAGAAAACAAAAATATTTTTTTGTTCATAATTAGGAAAGTGAAAAAGAAATGCATGATGCATTTTGTGCACAAATACCAATTTTATTAGAAATGATGATTGAATATAACAAATATACACTTCGTCAAGATCAGGTATGACATGTTAATTGTTAAATAAAGAACTATTTTAAGTTCAACGACAGTTTCAAGGACATTATTTGCATTCTTTTCATAAATGTCATTTGACAGAGTTCGAACAATTTTTCAAGGCAATTAAAACAAAAGCTTTTTTTACTTCTAGAGAAGAAAAATTGTAACGTCCAAAATATATTTTAAAAATCTGAAATTCAGCAATAAAAATGTATATAAGATAACACAAAATCAATATTTCTAGTTGAATTTCTAGCTTGGAGTAGAACACAGTGAAAAGACTTATGTTGAACATGAAACATAATTTTAGAGAATAAATTACATTACAGACAGAGAATCTAAAGCTCTCGATACATTAGAAGCTTCGAAGTCTTATACTAAGTCCCTCAGAAAAACTCATAGGTTTTGGTAGTCTCGTCGGCAATTCTTACTTTCTATTCATTTTCATTCAATACAGCCTTAATAATCAAGTCTATTTCACATATCCCACACGCGTAGAATAAGACAGAAACGGACAATATCCTGTGAAAACAAAAGAAACAATCATTAATAAGAAGAGTGCCCTTAGAACAATACGGTCAATATACCCTAATATCTTTATACAATGTCCAATAGCATTTCTTTTTTTGTGAAACACGATCTGAAAGGAGTGTTGAAGTGTTTAGGGGTAGAAATTTGGACCCCCCCCACAGACCGTTACAGACAGGTAATTCCGCCGTCACAGACCGGTACAGACAGGGAATCTCTCCCTCACAGACCGTTACAGACGGGTAATTTCTCCGTCACAGACCGTTACAGACAGGTAATTCCCCCGTCACAGACCGTTACAGACAGGTTATTCCCCCATCACAGACCGTTACAGACAGATAATTCCCCCATCATAAACCGTGACAGAGAAGCCAGGTACCCATCACAGACCGTGACAGAGAATCCAGGTACCCATCACAGACCGTGACAAAGAACCCCGGTACCCATCGCAGACCGTGACAGAGAATTCAGGTACCCATCCCAGACCGTGACAGAGAAACTGTAGTTGTAAAGCATCAGATTAACGGTTAGCTACAAATGTATCGCAACGTAATGGAAGAAAAGGATTTCCATTTAATTAGTAATAATAGAGCCATCGTGTTTCA